ATTCTACTTTTAATAATGAAGTAAGAACTAAATCTAGGATTCGAATTGACAATGAGCTCAATATGCAATCGTCTGATATCGAAATTCGTTATTGCTATAAAATCTGAAGCACCGATTGGATAAAGGTCTCGCGTATATAAATAATAATTAGGTAGGTTTAATAATAATAATTCTTATAGCTTTGAATAGCGACGACAAGTAATAAAAATTTCGTTTAGTATTGAAAGAACTTCTTGAACAGATGTACTAATTCACTTGTCGCAACTTCGCAAAATACGAACCCATACAATTTGTTTCGTTAGGAACCGCGAGATTGAGGTAAAAATAAGCGCGTATAGAAAAACGAAAAGAAACAAAAAAAGGAAGAAGGATGGAGAGAGTTGCGAATTTCTTTAAACATGAAACTACTTAATCGATCCGACGCCACAGCTGATCGTAATGGTTTCACTTGAAGTTTGCACAGCCACTCGGAACACGTAATCTACGCGATCCTCGCGATTCGAATCTTCCGCAATCGCGGCTTCGAGATTCGCGACGACTTCGACTCACGTTCGTGAAATTCAGCTTGCAAGGCGAGCTGTTTTATCAGCGACATCCGGTAAAAGACGGAGCATCGTCAGAGTTAACGTCGCTGACGAAAAAACGTATCCGAGCACAATGAGTCGTTTGACGAACGACTTTAGAGGAAAAAAATCGTCGCAATTTTACAGTCATGCAATCGACTTCGTGTACACTCGTGATATAAACTGTCACACGTTCAGTTCCGATGGAATTAAGATTGTCTTGCAATGCAGAGAATCAAGAAAGTACTGGCACACGTACGTCTCTTGCGAAAACAAATGATACATTAACAAAATCTGTTTCCATTTGCATTCGTGCCAATATATTTTTCATCCACATTTTTCGCCGCCAAGGTTGCAAATAATACAGTACAATTACTAATGCAATGCAATTATATTAATTGCATCGTGTTAATTGCGTATAATACAATTATTAATATAATAATGACAACAATTGCCACATTACGATAATTATCATTACACTTCTGATAACAATTATTATTATACTTTTTCGAACGAAAGTGAAAAGAAAAGAAAAGGAAAGGATAAAATCGCAATATCGAAACGTAAGAATAAATTCAGTCTCCTCGTTGCAAATTTAACTGTCTATCCTTACAGCAATCAATTATATCAATTTTAACACCGCGAGACAAATGAAATTGGAGAAACGAAGAACGGAATTCAAGATTCTGACTAAAAGAAACTCGTTGAGGTCTGTGCTGAAGCAGTTTCCCCCTCGCAATTTAAATATAGTGTCGCTGTCATTCATCGAGGCAATTTTCGAAGGCTTAAAATGATTTGTGCGAACATTACATTTACAAAAATTTTGTGCAAAACATTATTTGCTCTCGAAACATTTTCATGTCGAGCAAATGTTTCTTACTGAGGGAATTTAACACGAAAAAACGAAACGTTCCCTGGAATAAATTGTGCTCGAAAGTTGGAAGGTCCAGCGTATCACGAACATCACGATACACGAGATGTCACCCGTTCATAATTCGCGCAAAACGATTCAGACATATGGTTCACCTTTGGCGTGCCGCAAAGCTCATAGCATCTCATAATTAGCTGAAAGATGGATGGACGGAGAACCAGAAAGAGGCTCATACACAGGCAAAGAGAGAGAGAGAGAGAGAGAGAGAGAGAGAGGGGCGAAAAGCGAGAGGAATGGGAGAGAAAACGAAAGGGCTAGATAACAGAGGAAACAATCGTAACTGGTGCTTGCTTATAGGGAGTGCAATCAATTAAATGGGGTGCACACGAGCTTATGCAGTATAACGATGAGCAACACCGATATCACGATTTTCCGCTAGTTCTCACATCTATTCGTTTCTTTCTTCTATTCGCGTTCTTCCTCTACACCTCGTACAGACATTAACGTCATCACCACCCCATAGGCTTAGTTAAACTAACCTATTAAAAATTATAAATGCCCCTCGCGCTGGCAACTGTGTTTGCGGACCATAACGAGCGACCGAACCGTATACAATAAATTAGTCGCTTTCCTTTTGAACTCGTCGATACGATGTTACTGGATAGAAATTACTGAGAATTAATAAATTTATTGTTTGTTTCGTCACACTTAAATATACTCGAAACTAAGAAAATATTAACAATTGCAATTTTGGAACAAAAAATTCTCGACGTGCGTGACACGTCATTCCGGCGCAAGAGGTTAACCACTTGCGCTGGCAACTGATTGCGAGCCATAACGAGCGACCGAACCGTATACAATAAATTAGTCGCTTTCTTTTTGAACTCGTCGATACGATGTTACTGGATAGAAATTACTGAGAATTAATAAATTTATTGTTTGTTTCGTCTCACTTAAATATACTCGAAACTAAGAAAATATTAACAATTGCAATTTTGGAACAAAAAATTCTCGACGTGCGTGACACGTCATTCCGGCGCAAGAGGTTAACCACTTGCGCTGGCAACTGATTGCGAGCCATAACGAGCGACCGAACCGTATACAATAAATTAGTCGCTTTCTTTTTGAACTCGTCGATACGATGTTACTGGATAGAAATTACTGAGAATTAATAAATTTATTGTTTGTTTCGTCTCACTTAAATATACTCGAAACTAAGAAAATATTAACAATTGCAATTTTGGAACAAAAAATTCTCGACGTGCGTGACACGTCATTCCGGCGCAAGAGGTTAACTTGCGCTGGCAACTGATTGCGGACCTTAACGAGTGACTAAATCGTATACAATAATTCGTCGCTTTTTTTTGAACTTGTCGGTATGATGTTATTGTCGGTATAATAGAAATTATTGAGTAGTAATAAATTTATTATTTGTTTTGCCTGGGTTATACTTAAGTATACTTAAAACTAAGAAAATGTTGCAATTCTTGACGTGCGCGACACGTCATTCCAGCGCAAGAGGTTAATATTTCATCTACGATCTTTCTTTCTTTCATGTCAGATTAATTTGTATCGAAAGATTCTGTTGGAACCTCTACAAATTTCCAAAATTAAAGAGTTTTTTAATTGGTTAACTTTTGCTCTTCGACTGTCACGAACATAAAGAACATTTATTGGCTAGTTATTCTTCTACCGCGTAGATAGCAACATAATTATTCCCGGTAGGGTATGAAATTAACCTATTAAGACTCAACATTCCATTTACAATCTTTTTCTCTCTCCCTCTCGCCTCCTCTTTGACTAGCTGTCAGATTAATTTGCATCCGCATATTCCATCTTTCAATACTGCGTAAATCCCTGCAGCTTTACGAATTTTGAAAAAAATGAAGTGTTTATTACGTTACGTGTGACGAACTATTTTTAATTCCGACCAAACACATTAGAAAAACATTTATTCAGGCTTTCTTTTTTTTTTTTACCCTATAGGTATTTTCTATTCTGTAGATTTTAAAATTGAAATCCGTATAAATTAACTTATTAAGGTTAACGTTGCTTCAAACATCTTTTTCCTGATTTATCAAATTCTACCCTTTAATATTGTTTCTCTCACCAAGAAGTTTCTATCTAAATTTAAATACATAAATCTTCCATGAAATTTAAAGAATTTGAGGTATTTATTATGTTAAAATACTATGAAATATTACTTGATTCTTCACAGGTTAATTTCTAGACTTATCACATTTGAAAAACGCTTTTCTTTTTCACGTTTTCTTTTTTAGATATTAACACCATCTATATTAAACTACGAAATATTTTGCACAGATTTCTGAACATTTTTAGCAAGCAACTCTTTATTATGTTAATAAATCTAAATACTTATGGAAAAGATAGAGTCATCTTTAATATATTTAATTCTTGATAATGCTGGATATCAATTTTCTCTAAATACATTTTTACTATAGAAAATATGAGATCGGGGTAAGGACAGCCATGCTGAGTAAAAATAAAATGTAACTTTCTTATTTTTTGTACAAAAAAATCTTACACGTATCAGAAACAAAAATGCAAAAATCCCCCTAAAAAAACAAGTCCTTATTAATAGCTTTTGGTTTAAAAGTGGAAACCAATTTGTGAGTAAATAGGCCATTTTATCTGACTCTTGGGTAAGATGGATCCATTAATTTAGTTTATACAAATTCTCACATGTGAATCAACCAACTCTTCGATATTTACAAGATCCATGCCATTATTTACAACATCCATCAATTTAAACGTTTAAAACACTGTTTTCGAAAGGAGAATCTGCGTCATATTTTAAACTTGTATTTTGCAATTATAAAAAAAAAAATACATAAATCATAAAGCGAACGAATACTGAAATATATGTACATGAAATACACAAATGACAAATGCACCACGTACACCGATCTCCCTCCCCTATATCAATTGTTTCGTCGTACACATTTTTAAATCAACTTCAAATTTTACCAATATAATCGTATAAACAGTTATCTAGGCAAACGTGCAAAGGATGAAACGTTGCAGGATGAAACAATTAGGGCGTCAGTCTTACCAGTATCATTCGCCCCTCGCGAGATCGAAGGCCACACTTGTTCCAATGATGGGAATTGCAAGGAATTTTGCTCATGGGGGCAGGAGGACATACGCACCGGCGCGTAGCGTATGCACCCCCATTAGTTCCCTTTTAGTCGCCATTTACGACACGCAGGGAATACGTTGGGTCTATTCTTTCCCCGCACAGCGAAAATATAATCGCAACGATCGAGTTTCGTTATAATGCCGATGAAATCTCAAAAGTTCTGTACGCGAATATTCATGTACTTTCGTGAGCCATTTTCCTCTCCCGAAAAAAAATAGAGAGAGAGAGAGAGAGAAAAGAGTTTTGAAACAATTCTCTATATGTTTTGCTACTTTGATATTCTGGCAGAAAAAAGAAAAATTCAACAATACCAACGATTTGATACATACCTAAATAGCAAGCGCACACTCTCGAGTATCGCGCGACGAGTACGAACGAAAATTGTTTGAAAATAGGTTGAAATTACCTGTTGCTGGCCGCTGCACAAAGGCATTTCCTCCGACTTCATTTCTGCAAAGGAAAGAAAAAAAAAACGGAGAATAATTTATCATGACTTATAGAGTTTGAGTAAAGACCGATTAATTTTAAAGGCACGATCGCGAGACTCGCGGCTGTTCCCGCGTCGAACATCTTTTATTAATACCGTTTCGTTTGGTCTTTTTACAGATCGTATCCGTCGCCTGTACAAAATGGTGGGCCGAATGGGACGCCGATGAACTGCGCTGGTTCTCAAGGTAAGAGAAAGAGAGAAAGAGAGATTCGAATAAAAATACCAAAAATCGAATTTCGCTATTATTGCACGAATGTCTTAGAATAGTCTCTTTGCTCTTACTGTGCAATATTTAAATAATACTTTATATTTAAATATTTTATATTATATTTAAATATTTATATTAATTATATTATATTATATTTAAATATTAATATATATATTAAAAATATTTATATTATATATATATTATATATATATTAAAAATATTTATTTTATATATATTATATATATATTAAAAATATTTATATTATATATATTATATACATATATTAAAAATATTTATATTATATATATATTATATATATATTAAAAATATTTATATTATTATATTAAGTAATGGCAAGTTTAATAAACACAGTATAGCATTAGATAGATAATGTTATTTTTTCGGCACAGCCACGAAAATGAACTTGGTTTACATTTCTCTTTTTTTTCATTCTCTCTGTTTCTCTCACTCTCGCGCTTCAATCTTTGTATCTGTTACTCTACCTACCCTATACTTCTGTGCCATAGTATAGAATTAAATGAATGTTATGAATTTAATAAACATAAGATGGACCAATTCTTTTTTAATAAAATATCAAAATATAAGAAAGAAACTACTAACTTTTATTAATTTAAAATTAAATTCAAGTTCAAATGTAATTTTTTTTTCATTATGTTTCAAAAATTGCTATTTTAAATATATAATCATAAAATCACACTTAATAAGTGTGGTTAAGTATAGTTTAATAAACACAGTGGACACGTTCACTGTCCATGACTGATCATGCATTGATTTAATGCATTAAATGATTGTCCTAGTGTTAATTAGACATGCGATTAACAAAGTGTTAACATGACACATGTGTGATGTGTATACATTTCGTTATTTCATTTTTCCAGTTTCGAAATACACTGCCTATCTCGGTGGGTATTCGATCGGCAGTCGGTTGAATGCTTTTATTTGTTCGAATTTATGTTAAATGTTATTTCTATCGTTAATTGTAATATTGGTACTGTGCGAGTGATAGGAATCACGTTGGGAAGCTTTAGCGGAAATACATTTCGTATATTAGCGATAAAATGGGAGGGTGGTCGAATATTTATGAGGTGTACTTTCAGAATCCTCTTTTGAAATAGAGAAATTTCAAACAGCGAACGCGGATTTTTCCACATTGCTCGTGGCACCATAACTCGCAAATTGGCGCTGAAATTTTTTCCCAGTTTTAAAACATACACACACACACACACACATACAGTGTTGGCAGCTGAAAAGATGTCTTGGTCAAACATATAATTTTACACATTATCACACGTCATTTTCTCTTCATGTACACACATAATTTTCAGTAGTAAATGCGAAATGAACTGTTTCTTCAATACGTATTGCGTGCACTTTTGAATCCAGTACGCGCGTGTGCGTGTCCGCAGTATTTTGCTTCTAGCAAAATTCTTCTCGCGATAAGAAAGAATCGAAGAGATAGAATCAAAGTGTATGGTTTTTACCAGCAAGTGGTATTTATTAAATAAAAAAAAAAAAAAAACAGATGTCCGAGACAAAAGAGAAGCAACATTTATCTACCCTACACGTGTTCAGTTGTTTGCCACACGTTTCGTCCGTTTTCCGAAAACGGATAGCGGTATTTCGCAATAAAACTGATTAATCGGCCCGACGAAAAAGTGGAGGGGGAGGAGGAGGAGGAGGAGGAGAAAGGGCGTAACATTCTACATATTAAATTAGCGTTGCATTAAATTTATTGGCAGAGAATTCTCCTTTGGAGATCGGTCACGGCGCAACGGATACGCTTGATACGCCTCTCTGTACCGCGCGAACAATTTCACCTATCAAACGTCGACGATGTATAAAAGCAAGGACTCTGATATTTCAGAGGAAAGTTTCCGGCCACGTCGGGCGAAAAAAAAAAATGAGAGAGAGAGAGAGAGAGAAAAAAGAAAAAAAAAATTACCCGCCTCGTGACAATTCAATATCGCGCGATTACGCGGACAAAGGTATAACGAATCAAATATCGTTTTAATTTTATATATTGTATCTTGCAAATGCGAGTACGCGCGCGCACACAAACACACACGCACATACACACACACACACAATATACTGTTGGTGATTCATGCGTTTGGCATCCCGCAAAAACCCGCGCGCATATCCGCGCACGTTCATTTTCAGATTCAACCCTCCTCCCCCTCCCGCCTCGCGTTATTTCCCATCGGGAATTTCATTCGGGAAAGGATTTTTCGAAAGATAAGCGTAAAACTCGCGCGATAAATGTCTAAAACTGGCGGACGTACAGGGTGTTCCGAAATTCAGCGTTCTGGACTTCGTCAGTGTTTCTTCTCTTTTCTTTTTTTTTTTTTTTCCATGAGTTTATTAAGTAACAAGGCTAAAATGTCACGTAGCAAAGGAGACACTTCGTTAAAGAAGTTACAACAATAAATAATAAATATGTATAATAAAACTATAATAAAACGTATAGTAATGTATAATAATAAAATAAAATAAATAAATATACGTAATATAATATTATATTTATTTATATTATATTATATTATAATATTATATTTATTTTATATTATAATTAATATAATGAATAATAATAAACAAACTCATTATTGAAAACGACTGACAATTTTGACAATCAAGGACAATTGTAATTTAAAGAAAAGTTAAAGCGTGTATATTGTAGTTTAAAGAAATAAAATCCTATTAATTCTAATTCATTAGAATTAGGTCAAAAGTACCAATCTTCTGTGAAAAACATACTCTAATCTTTTGCAAAACATACTCTGTTAGCAGGATCGTGCGAACATGATATACAGCATATATTTTGTTGAAACGTTAGGTCAGTAAAGTGATAAAACATTAAATATTAAATTAAAGAAATGGATAGTCAAAGATTGGTCAGACATTCACGAAAATGGGACATACTGTTTTAGAACAATCTTCCAAATATATTCCCGTGTACGCGATATTACAGTGAAATACTTCAATTAAAAACAAATAAAATTCCTGTAAGTGCAATGCAACAAGAATTGTCGCGTCTAGCCATCAGATCTTCTCGAAAACGAAACACACCCCGTTAGCGTTATTTTTTATTATTTATTTTTTTTTTTTTTTCGAACATTAAAAATAAGTGAGAGTGCAAACCGAGCGAAAATTTAAGTGAAAGGTTCAACGAACGATAGCGAGAGTGTAAACGGATGGTCGGGGTTAAAGAACGCGTAAAAAAATGTTTGAAAAAAAAAAAAAAATCGGAATTTTATGGAAAGCGTCGATTAGCGAGAATATCACCGGTGGTAAACATTTTTTTTTTTTTTTTTTTTTTTTCCGAGACTCATTGAACAATTGCACGCGTCGTTGAGCAACGTTCGAACGCGTTTGCCGGTCCAGCGAGATCCTCGAATTGATAGACTAACCAAGTTTGCTCGAATTGCGCGTGTTAACCCTGGAAAGACTAACTAAGTCTCAACCAGGAGAAGACTATAAAATTAGCCCAATCTCTGACCAAAAAGATCAAGGCAACTGGCAATTTCAACATCCCTCGTAGATAATAACTTAATTTACACACGTTCATAATTAATCATTTTATTCAATTATTGTTGCATTCTGCGCATACGTGTTAATAATAATTTACGTACGGGACGAGTCTCGTAGTATAACAACCTTGAGATCATTAACAGACGTAATAATAAGTAATTAAAATTGTCACGTATAGTTGATTAATTTCTAAACTCGAAGTATTTCGATTTATTTTCGAATATGCTCGATAAATATATTCAAGCTCGATTATTCTCGAAAACGAAGGCTTTGAGAGGGGAAAAATCTTTCTTTTTGACTCATCTCTTCGCGTAGAATCACCCCTCTTGAGATCCACTATGTAATAGTTATTGGTGTTTGTTAAAAAATATTAGTATTTAATACTATGTAATACTACTATTTAATACTATTAAAAATAATACTAAATATTACTATTTAATACTATTAAAAATAATACTAAATATTACTATTTAATACTATTAAAAATAATACTAAATATTACTATTTAATACTATTAAAAATAATACTAAATATTACTATTTAATACTATTAAAAATAATACTAAATATTACTATTTAATACTATTAAAAATAATACTAAATATTACTATTTAATACTATTAAATATATTACTATTAAATATTACTATAATTACTAATATTAAATATACTACTATTAAATATATTTAATACTATTAAAAATAATACTAAATATTACTATTTAATACTATTAAAAATATTAGTATTTAATACTATTAACTATTGTTGTTATTGTTCATTTATTCCTCATCTCCCTTGCGGCTTATGGGGAAAAGGGGGTATTCCTTACTTACAATGTCTATACAATCTAAATACAAAATTAATCTTACACCTTAGCACCTTATCTGTACTTAACTTAACCTGGCTTGTCTAAAAAACGAAACACAAAGAAAAAAAAAAAAACACTAAGCAAGGTAACGTAAAGTCTGTTAATTTAACCTTTAAAACCTAGAAACAAATTATCTAAATCTAAGCTGTATCCTGTTCTAAAAATCTTTGGCGTAAAAAATATTATTAACTATGCAACAGTTAACAATATTTAAGTGCAAGCTATATACGTGTGCACTTAAATGATTAACGTCGTTTCAAAAAATCACGATCGAGAATTGTCATCTTATCAAATTCAGGCTTGAAATTTTTCGACGAAGAGTTAATCCGACGTCGTTGATTAAAAGATCGGAAGAAACTTGGGAGAACACGATCGGTGACAAAGGGGAGAGAAAGCAATGGCGAAGAAGCGCGTACGAAAAAAAGGGGGGGTGGATTTCGTGGCTCGAGTTTCAAAACCACGGCATGCAGCGGCATTTTATTCGAAACGCGCTCGCGTTTGCGAAAAGTTGACTCACGACGTGAAAATATACCCGGAGCGATAAGCCCGTGGAAAAATAACGTGCCGCGTTTCCCTCGGAAATCGATATTAAAAATATTCCGCGGCAACGCAAAAACGTGCGAGCGAAAAGAATGAGGAAAAGGTCACGCGAGAAACCGGAAACGTTCGATAAAGGAACCTTCTCTGTTTTCAATGATTCTCGATACTCCGTGTTTTCTTGGGGATAATATTTTCTTTTCTATCGGAGTAAGATGAGAGAGAAAGAGAGAGAGAGAGAGAGAGAGAGAAAATTGTTAAAATCACGAGATTTGAAAGATTAATAATAATAATGATAATAAAGAAATCGCTTCTGATGCCTCGAATTTTGAAACGGAATTTGGTACCAATTAGAATTAAACTAAGGAATTTTGTGGAAATATTTTAAAAAGTAGAATCTTGTTTCACGGCAGATTTTTGTTTTCATCTAACAACGAAAGTTGTTAAAAGTTTATTGTTTTATGTACTGTATGTATTTTTGTAACTTTAAATGTCCCATAAATGCGCATGTTTTTAACATTACATGTTTCGCGAAAAGAAAACACTGAAAGAACAATATGGAATTCATTTTGTAAGAAATTCCCGTGACAAATTAACGTTTCGTTAATGAGTAACGACTTACATCGTAGATATAATTTTTACACAAACCCTACGAAAATTACAAGAATGTGTACCTCTTACTTTTAAACAAATGACAGTTTGGAACACATTCTTAAATATTGAAATAAATTCCATCAACTACTTATGAATATTTCGTAATTCTTACGTATGTTTTCAGACTGATTTTAATTGTTACTAGTGTAACCAAATTTCATCATTAAACCGCGAATTTTTATGCGAATATTTAAGCATGCAAAAGTGCCAAAAAAAAAAAAAAAAAAATGATGCACACAGTGTACGAAAGTATATATCGAAAGCAAAGTAGCTAGGTAGCTGTTAATAATCAGACTGTGGATTTTTATGCAAATTCATACTTTAATAAATAAAATTTAGAAACCAGAGAGATACCAGATAGAAAATTGCTTTCTCTGTTATTACACAGATATTTGAGTATTTCATGTTCTCTTGCATTTTTCTAACTTTCTTATTTTTTCTTTTTTTGAGTTGATAAAAATCCACGTTTGGTGTTCAAACTTTGTTCAAAAATGAAGATCCACGCTCGGCGAAGATCCAGCTGACAATAAGTTTCAGTTTCAACAATCCAAGAAAAGTGAACGAAAAAAAAGGGAACGTCTGTATTTTAGTCGGCCACCGTTTTTCGAGTATCTCGAAAAACGGTGGGGGGGGGGGGGGGGCGGGATCGGTTTTTGAATCAACTGACGATCAAACCGAGAAGAGATTGAACCGACACCGGTGGGTGCGATGTCTTTTTCTGTGCAGGAGTGATGGTAAAGCAGGAAGCGAGGGATGACGGTTACGAGACAAGTCCGGACCTCGAGATGAGGAGCACCGGTGGTGACAGCAGTCAGCAGTACCACACGCCGCTGACACCGCACACACCGCACACACCACACACGCCGCACACACCCCTCACGCCGATATCGGCGACAGCGCATCAACCCCAGCAACCTGGCTCGTCCGCTTCCACCCTCGGACAGGTGAGTTTTTCCTATTTCTCTCTCTCTCTCTCTCTCTCTCTCTCTCTCTCTCTCTCCGGAGGAAGATACACCCACAAAACCTCGCGAACCTCTCGAATCCGGTTTCCACAGCCTTCTCCTTTTCCTATCCTCACCCTCTCCTCCTCACCCTTCTTCATCCACTATCTGGCGTTTTAACGAGACCCTCGTTGCCGAAATTTGATACACTATTCGAAAGTTGCATCTCTCTCTTTTTTTTTTTTCTATTCCTTTTTCGAACTCGTTTTTGGCTTTTTTCGTGGAATCGTGGAAATGGGAACCGCGTGGACAATCAAAGTGTCGAATTTTTTTCTCCTCCTCTCTCTCTCTCTCTCTTTCTCTTCTATCTGACGTCTTCGCGAGATTTTTGGTACGTTTGAAAGTACGAAACAGTTGGATTTTTCTTTTTTGAACTCGTTTGGGTTTTCGTTGAAACCGGGAAATGTGAACAGAAGTGTCGAATCTTTTCTCTCTTTCTCTCTCTCTCTTTTCTATTTGGTGTCTTGATGAAACTTTTATTACCGAAATTCGGTATGTTTGAAACTATGAAATATATTGAATTTTTTTTGATATTTTTTTTCCCCCTTTCTTTTAATTTAGTAGATTTTCGTCGGATCGGAAAATGAAATATGTAGACAATCAAAATGTTTAATCCAATGGACTTTGTCTTTCTCTTCTATCTGACATTTCACGAAATTTTCGTTGCCGAAACTTGGTATATTTGAAACTACGGAATAGTTGAATTTTCATTGAAAGTTTCATTTGTACAAAAATCGTGGAGAAGTATTAGATAGTATTTATAGAATTTCACTGAATCGGGAAATTAACTGTTTTACATACACTGTCGTATCAGAATAAAATGAACTATCATTTGTCTTCATATTTTACTTTATGTAATTCCTGAATTTTATCAGAATCAACAATTTAATATCGAATCTATTAAATTCTTAATGACATTAAATTTTCTTGTTTAATTAATCAATGTAATGACAGGATTTTTCTTTCAGTCAGTAATTTTTAAAGCCTGTTTAAATATTGAATTCTTTAGAACAGTAAATCGGTATTAAACCAGTTCACTTCATTTTGATACAGCACTGCATGAACAATTAAAATATTAACCTTCCTCTTCCATTTTCAAAAGCGGTAGAAAAATAAAGACGCTTCTTCCTTCTCCAAAATGCAACAAATTCAGACGTCTCCAAAAACTTGAAAAATTTTTTTTCGTGACTGAATTTATTATTAATTGCAGCCTTCTTTTTACAATTTTGATTGTACGATACCTTTATCCCAGCTGTTTCATAAAATTTTGAATGTCGAACTAAAGCCAACGGAGAGAAAATATTAAATTAAATTTAATATTCAACATTCAATAAAATTGTATATCAAATTTTAGGAAATCGTTGTAAAGGGAGGAATCTTTAAAATCGTGGTAGATTTAATAAAAAAAAAAGAATTCTTTTCATATTTTTACAAAACATTTCAATTCGTAGTATTTTTGAGGAAAAAAGAAATATCTTTTCCATTTGCTACACGATGAAAAATACATCTTTGAAAGAGAAAAAGAAAAATGAACGCAAAATTGTGAAAGCAAAAACTTCGCGTTTTAAAACGGGCAGATTATTGTGCAATTTTTTCTCATGATATTATAGCACTTCAAATATCGACAATTTCTCTAAAATCGAAAATTTTTCGTCCGAATGTTTATTGAAGTATTTCAAAAATGTCACGAAATGATCAAAATAATAGCCCTCGCGTTAGAAGAACGTCGAGAACCGTCAAAATTCAGGATTTCAACGGTGAAAAATGCAAAATTACAAATACAATATTTGACCATTGTTCCTTGGAGTCTGTTTCATCCAGCATTATGATTTCGTAAATAATTATTTTGCAAATTTCTAAATAATCCTGAACGACTTGTGCCAGATTTGAAATATACGCGTGCACGTGTAACAAAATAATATAACAGAAAATTTAAGGGCGACATGTGTTAAATATGTTTACGAATATTTAATATCAAATTAGTATCGTCGTATTTTCTTCTGCGAGGCAGTAAATTTTTCTTCTAGTAAATTTCATTGAATATTTCAGTCTTCTACACACATTTCTCAAAAATCGAAGGGAAAGATACATTTACAAATATCTGTATTATACTTGTACCAACATAAAAAGTAAATTTAAGTATTAAATAATTTTTATTCAATATTTGATAATTTTTAAATAATTTACTTTTAAACAATTAATTTATTTAAATAATTTTTATTCAATATTTTCGTTTCGTGCCAGTCTAATCCAACCACAGATCTGCAAATATTATTACGATTACATTAATTTTAATAAGGAATATCTATTTCACGATTGTACAATTAATTACGATCATACCAAAACATATTCCGTAGCGTGTAACGTTAGTCATCAAGAATATCAAGTCATCAATATGTTAAATAATATAATTAAATGATAAAATATTAATATATAAAATATTAAATATTCGATATTTTTAATAATTTGCCTATTCTGTAATTGTACAATCATTCCTTTCTTATATTCAAATGATCCCGTCACTGCCATCCGAGGATTGATAAAATGCAGCGTTAATCAACACGTGCAGGTGTATAGGAAAATGGACGATTACGCAATGGAGGGGCGAGGGAGGGGAGAGCAAGGGAAAAAGTGTGCAGAAGGAAAATCACAACGTGCAACAAGAGAGACGCTCGGCTGGTGGATCGCGTATCGATCAGATCTAGCGGTTACCGACCGAAAATTACGAGCGATAAATTACGACGAGAGCACACACGGGGTCGGCGGATTGGGTTTTCGCAATGACATGCGAAATGGTCAATTCACGTTCCGATGTTAGTTTTACGATTCGCTTACGCAATGCGGTTTTGTCGCTGTGACCACGTAAGACACGTGAACGAACATGGTACAACGATATTCTCGATATAATCTGTTCCTCGGCATCCGAGGACCCATCTAAATTAATAATGTGATATCAATATCGACCGCGAGGATGTTGACACACACTGTTACAATTTTGCAAAAAGAAATCGTAGAACACAATAACTAATTGTTCGTTTGATTTTGTGAGACGTTTCTTTAGAAGTGAGGACACTTGTCTCCTCGTCGAAAAATGTAGATTGTCGTTTATGCAAACAACACGAACGTTCTTTTCGATAAAAACGAAAAATAGATCGTACATCAAGTAAAAGGGAAACTGAATCGTCGTTCAGTCCGAGATTTTAAATGCTATATTTATTATCGTTACTCTAGGGACAATATAGAAAATTTAGTATGAGATCGTTTCTAAATTTTTTTCTCGTTCCAATTCAAATAAAATTGAACACAACATTGGAATCACAATTGATAACGTCGACATACGAGATTTGAGAAATTTATTTAAATATTTATCGACAATGATCTCGAGATCATATTCAATATATCATTTTCATGTTCATTATATAATCGTAATAGTATTTCAAATAACATCCAGCTAAATAATTAACACGCTCGTATTATTCGATTCGTCATTTCTTATGTATGAACGATGATAATGTTTCACCTGACAATAAGTTTAGACTGTAGAAGTTTATCTTTAACTTTTACTTGTAAAAAAAAAAAAAAAAAAGAAAGCAAACGTTTTTAGTTTTCATTCGTCTAAGTAGTAGAAATAATTACGAGCTGCAAAGAGTCGAGGCTTAGTATTTCTAAGGTTTAAATGATTTTCATTTTTAAAGTAAAGAACACGTTGAAACGAGGGAATTCGTGGGAATCGAGAAAATTGTGAGAACGCCGTAGTAAAGATGTTTCGATACGAGCTGACAAGTTACGAGTAATTACGAACGATAATCTGTTGGGCAATTTTCAAACACTATACCGCGACTAGTGTGCGTATATATATATATATATATATACATATATATATTTTACGATCGCGGTGCCGTGTGTTCCACACGTTTGTTCCCTGGCTGTCGTTCAAACGACATTTTCCAAACGACGCATAAAAAAAACGCAAACTGCAAACTCGCGATGACTGTTGTCAGGATGAAAAATAGAAAAAATAAATAAATAAATAAAAAAAAGACGAAAAAATTGAAACATAGACGGATGAAGATGGAAACAATCGTGACGCTATGGTTTGTCGGTTTCCAAATTTTTATACTAATTCGTGGCTAACTCTTTGAGACGGAAATTTTTGCGATAAAAAAGAATTTCCAAATTTTATTTTAATGTTATTTTTGATGCAAATGATTGTCTTGTGCGTGTATTTTTAAAGATACGAATGATTTTTTCAAAAATTTTCATAAAATTTAATATGTTAAATTTCTTCCTACAACCTTGCGACCAAACGCGAATGTGTTTTTCAAAACATTGAAGTCTCCTAGATTAATAGCGAGACTAATAAAATATCGTTTATTGCGATAAAAATTTGAAGTTAAAATTACTGATTTCACTTGGCTGCTCTCATGTCTGAGAGATTTCAATGTTTTTAAATATGAATTTCGAAGTAATCGTGCTTGATCGCAAAATTTTTTACCAGTACGTAGTAAGTAGCATGCTTTATACTATAATTTTTCTAAAACAACTTCTATACTTTGAGCGTCGACAGTTTCAGTGTCGATAGCCTAATGAAACATTCTTTCCTCGTCACAAGAAGAACGCCTATCAAGCGCGCGGATTCGAAAATTTCGTGCCAAATTTCCTAAACATTATTTCCAACCGAGAAACGTCGAACGCATTACGCTCGGCGAAGGAAACCCGCGAAGAAACGGAATTTTCACCGCTTTCCACTTCGAAAATTCCCGAGAGATAGGTCACAAGTTCTGACGACGCTGCAGCATTTCACGTATTGTACATACGCGCTTTCTCGTTTCTCTGAACCTATTCTCCTTTCGAAAAATGTATTGTTGGATGCGAGGAGAGCATCTCAGAACGCTCTCAGGCTCTAGTCTCTGAGCAAAACGCGTATCAGTACAGCAAAACTTGGCTCTATGTATGAACTTGTCGGAGGGTAAATAGTTTGTTTTACATTTATTTTATTTGTTAACAGTTTGTTTCCTTCTTTTCGCGATTTTCTAGATTTTTCTCCCTTGATTTATCTAGCCCTTTGCATATTTTCGAAGATTTGACATTTAAATTCGGAGCTCATACACTCTATAATAGAAATTCACGTAGATCGCCGATTCTCCTTTTTATTAACGAATTTTTTGATTCATACAACAGAACCTCGGACAAGTGGATTCAACCAGCAAAGGTTCACTTGATCGAACATTGACTAGAATTGGAATTCATATCGGTCATTTGCTGCGGTAATGACACGATTGAAAAATCACGATTTTAGGGAAACGAGTTCTTGTTACAATTCTTTTTGTAACAAGCGTGACATCAAAATGTCAAATTCTCGTAATAACATTTCTGTGAACATGTACGCTTATGCAACTCCGATTGTTTCTTCTGCAAATTTTATCTTACGTTGTCATTGCAGCAAATTTTAATCCAAAAATCATCTAATGATACGAAAAGTTCATAAAATTTAATAAAACGTCAACTGTCGAATAGGAGAAATAAATCTAGATAGAAATATTCAAATTATTATTCAAAGCATTACGTCATTAGACAAAAAAATCTCTTGGCCCTATTAACCACATGCACTGGCAACTGATTGCGGACCATAACGAGTGACCGAACTCGTATACAATAAATTCGTCGCTTTCTTTTTGAACTCGTCGGTATGACATCACTAGATAGAAATTACTAAGAAGTAATAAACGTATCATTTGTTACATTTATCATACTTGAAACTGAGAAAATGTTGCAATTTGGAACAAAACATTCTCAACGTGCGTGGCACGTCATTCCAGCGCAAGAGGTTAACCACTTTCGCTGGCAACCGATTGCGGACCATAACGAGTGACCGAACTCGTATACAATAATTCGTCGCTTTCTTTTTGAACTCGTCGGTATGATATCACTGGATAGAAATTATCGAGAATAGTAATAAATTTATTATTTGTTTTGCCTGGGTTATACTTAAATATACTTAAAACTGAAATATTACAATTTTAGAACAAAATATTCTCGACGATCCAGCGCAAGAGGTTAAAAGAATTAAACATCGGTTAAACTTAAGAATCATCGCTGACGTCTCTCTTCAAAATCGTCGATGACATTATTTTTCTGTCCGGCGCCTGTTTTAGAAGTGATTTGATTACGGGATACACGTCTAAAAGCGTATGTGAACTGCCACGTCAACTGGTTCATCGAACATTTTCAGAGAACGTGTGACAAAATTATTTCGCCTGATCTATAATCCATGCCTTCGCTTATATATATTTTCGACTCTTCGCGACGTGTTTTATCGAGCTTCGAGTCAGAAGTTTTTTTCTCTTTTTCTTTTAAATAAACGAGTGAACAAATAAATTCGCAGGTGGCGATCAAGTGCGAGACCCCGGTGGACCCGTACTCGTTCGTCGACGAGGAAATGTCGATGGGCGGCATAAGGACGGCGAGCAGCCCGGTTGGCAATCCGGAGAACATGACGTGTCCGGCTGGGGGTCAACCCATCCTGGCTACACCAACGTCAACGCCGCCTGGCTCGTTGTCCGGGCCGCAACATCTCCAGATGAACCTCGGCGCGATGAACGGCAACGTGAATCCCCAATTGACGGCGCAACAGCCGAAGAAACGGGGCCGCAAGAGAAAATCAGAGATGATCCTCACCCCCGAAGAGTAAGAACACACTTCTTTAACAAGGGACTAAGGTTGAAAACAATTTGGCGAATTTTGGTACTCGACAAAATTGTTTTTTTTTCTTTTTTTTTTTTTTTTTTTTNTTTTTTTGAGAAGAAAAGAGAACACGCCTTTATTCTAAAATAACAGGCGTAACGGTGGTTTTTCACTGATAAACACTACAGCTAATGCAGGCAGTTGTCAATAGAGGTTTTCAAATGATTTTACGAACAGGCCATCGTTCGAAGAAAGAGATATATAATTATAATTATTCAATCGCATTTTTCCACGACTTTTCCTTTTCATTTCATTTTCAAATGACCTGATAATCAGACTGTGAAATAAAATATGTAGAAGGAATTTCCCTTTCAGAAGAATACCAAAATTCGTCTACTTTTAACCCTCCCTTCACTGTTCTTTTTTTTTTTAAACAATTTTGTTGAAGTCGAGGCAAATTGAAGGGCAACGAAAACTTAATAATTATTTAGAATAATTCGTGCTCAGAAACATTTCCATTTTCTTTACCAAAATTCTTGCAAAAAAGACTATATTCATCGAAAAGAAAAAAGAAAATCGAGTTGAACTAAGTTCAATAATGAATTATACAATAATAATAATACAAGAAATATAAAAATTCGAAAGTCAAAAAAATATTAGATACATTTGTAACATTCCAGTGCTTAATCCGCATTTAATGGCGGAATATTATTGAAAAAAATACAAAATATCCTTCTAAGTAACTTCTTTCAGAGTGTTATCGCGCCAACATTAGAGAAGGACGCTTGTTCTCGGACACATATAGATAAAAAATATTCTATATTCTTCGTAGTGGTAAAGCTACAAAAAACTCATTACTGAAAATTGCTACCGTCTACATTACTTTTGCACATAGTAAACTATATTTACGAAAACGAGACTTTGTTGATGTGCCGAGAAATATTCGTCTGCAGAGAAATAAGAAAACTAGGATGTTCCAATATCTTCTTCGTGTAAAAGTATCCCGACACACTCGCAGCAACTATGTTACAAAAGTATTTTAAATAATTCAAACACCCGTCCTTTTACTTTCTTACCAACGAACACTGATACGAATCATTTCGGTTTCGTCGCCAATCGTTCAATTAATCAGCAAATTTTACGACTCGTAGGAGCGCGATTCGAACAACGTGGACCAACGTTTAATTCGAAGATTAGCGTTACGAGATAATTCGACTCGGTCGCGTATTTACGGAATAATTTTCGGCAAGTACGCCGCGTGTGACTAGTGTTCGCGGTCGGCGGGTACAGTTCATTCTAAATAATAATTTGCAGCGGGGTCAATAGACGTGGATCGATGCGACCAGACTCGATTATAGTTGCTCGCTCGATACGCGAGCCTCGCTCACTACCCGCGAACCAACTTCTTCAACGCGAATAACGCTCGCGAGAACGATCGATGTTCGTTCGATCATTCTTCTTTTCTCGTTTCTGTGAAAAATCTTTCTCCTGGCAGAAAGCGCTTACAATTAAAAATACGTATATACTGCCTGGGGCAATAATTCAACACTTTTGGTGCGATATCATCAAAAAAGACTGATATTTTCGCTATTTTTCGTTTCAATTGTGATTGACGAGCTGTTCGTCTGCTGTTAATTCTTCGCGAGAGTCACGTTTCATTATTCATTTCTAAATTCAGATTTCGTGAAATCTGCAATTGGAGTTAGACACGTTTTCAAATCGAGTTCTGAAATTTCAACACTGAGAGGACACGACTTGAAGTCGCGTCGCCTCGCAGAGTTTTCAGTCACCTGATTATTAAGTATAATATTGATCGCTCCTTTTATCGATACGTTTAGGTTAAATTAAAGAGATTGATATTTTACATTGCATTCATTCAAAAATATCCAAATATTTATATCATCTAACGATGATATGTGTTATATATATTATATTATTATAGTATATTATATATATTATATTATGAAATTTCATGTAGTTTCGCCTGTCTTCATTCATTTTCTTCAATAATTCATTTCACTCTTTCAAATATAATCTACTCAATCTATATTTATACTGTTTGTAACTGTAACCTCTCTTACCTACAGATAAATAAATAAATAAATAACTAGATAGATAGTTCCTTAACGTAGACGATCCTGAATGTTTAAATAATTATATAAATATAGGCAAAGTTTCGAGAATTTTTCTCACCATGTAATTATTAAATGAAAAGTTCCCCAATTTTCAGCTTTATGCTTCAATTCTTTTAAGTACAAAACAAACAAAAAAAAAAAAAAGAAATACATCTACATACCTAAAAAAAAAAATTGTAATTTTTCATTTAATAATTACGTACGAAAAAAATTTGCGAACTTTACCTGTTTTTGTTTTTGTTTTTTTTTTTTTTTTTCGATGACTCACGTGCCTCGTTAAGAAATCATCTGTCCAACAACTAAACTTAATACTATGAATTTGATTCAGGGCGGAATTAGCCGAGGCGAAGAAACGAGCAAAGACGTACAAAGAGAGGAAGAAGCACGACCGATTCGACGGTATGCCGGAAGAGGAAGTGAGCAAGCGCGTTCTTCCTGATCATCTTACCAACAATCTGGACATTATCATAGTAAGTTGCTCGCCGCGAGAACGATTACCTCTCGGAAAGGGAGATTTCCAATTTCAGTTTCGTTGAATTTTAGAGGGGAAGATCTTGATTAATGTGCACTCACCCTCGAAGTTCACCTGCGACGATCGCAATTCAAAAGTTGCGACAAAAAAAAAAAAAAAAGAATAACTTGTTACGTTACATTTGCCCCGATACAAGTGATTTCGGGTCTAATACGTTACTTTCACTACGAATATCTCCTCTCTTTCTTTAATGCTCCCGTGAAATAGGTATATATCTTTCAGTATGTGATATTTAATAATCGGCATCGACACACAATCCGCGAAATAAAACTGTTGTACCTTCAGTTTCAATCAAGTTGAGGCTTTCTCAGAATATATACGTACAGACGAACTACTTTTTGTGCTAGTTGGCTAATTAATGACTCGATTCGAGCGAAAGTTGCAAACACACCCCTCTGATTTAACCCTTTGCGCTGGCAACTGGTTCGCGGACCATAACGAGTGACCGAACCGTGCACAATTATTCGTCGCTCTCTTTATCTTTCGAACTCGTCGGTATGATAGCACTGGACAGAAATGATTAAAAAGTGATAAACTTGTCACTTGTTTCGCCTGGGTTACATTTAAATATACTTAAGACTGAGAAGATGTTGCAATTCGGGAAAAAATTATCGGTTCTCAGTACTGATTATACGATGTAATATTGAACCAACGTGAAGTTTGTAACTTTTTGCCTCTCAGATTCTTAAACAGTCTACTAACACAATCGAACCAATAAACATACCAACATCAGGATCGCAGTGCAGATTTGTGCTCGACATTTTCAAGAAATTTTCACGAAACGAACATAAATTTAACATCACGACGATCGTATAATAAATTTTCTAGTAATATTTCACAAACAGGAAAGACACCCTTAGTTGAACACTTTTCGAATGTCATGCATTCGATATTCCACTCCGACGATACAACATTCGAATTATTAAGATTAAGGTAATCGACAAAGTAGAAACAGCTCACGCAGAGGAGAGCTGAATTTTTTTTCTCGCGACTCTGGAGAGTCATCGATTTCGTTTTGATGTCAATTGGAACCCCACGGTCAAGACCACCGAGATTTAAGCCCCCGTTTCCCGTGGCAATTAACCAAAAAAGTAGTAGTTCGATCGACGAAGTGCAATCGAGGACGATGGACAGAAATCGCACGAATCCTGGAACGAAGGAGGAGGTGTCCTCGCGCGCGCGTCGTTTTTCGCGAGGAGGGAGGAGGGGGAGAGGAGGATTAATCGGATTAGCCGTCGGCATAACGGACGTCTGGTTAACAGGAAAATCCATCTCGAAGGTAGCGAGACGTAGTCGGAACGTAACGTAACGACGACAAATAGCCGTTTGTAGCGCGTTCGTCAGGTGTCGTAATCGCTTTAATGGTCCATACCCAATTCGGTTATCACGCTCGACGTTGGTAACGAGCGCGTTCACCACCTTCCTATCGGAGGCCGTTTCATCGAGCACCGGTGTCGATCGAAATCGTTCTATTTCCAATCGACGGGACGCGGACGCACGCAGCCCGACGCGCGCCCGTGGATTTTCCCTCCTCGGTTTGTGAAACTCTCCCGCCACGACCTTGACTCGCGTGCCTAGGGTAGATAGATGTAGGGTAGGTTGTTGGTCCGTTTTGCGTTCTTCATACGCCGGATCCGCGCTATCGATCGCTTGCCTCGATCCGATCGAATCGGTTTGTTTGTTGATCTGTTTGCTCAGAGGATTTGCTAATTTGTTTATTCAGAGAAAAACGGGTGGATGCCGTATGACACAGATAGAGAAAGAAATTCAGAAGTCCTGATGTGTTTGCAAATTAATAATGCAGCCTCGAAAGGAAAAACGAGATTATACTATTTGAAACTATTTGAAAACTGACCGGAAAACAAATGTTTACGTTACATATATACACACGCACGCACACAATTAATAATAATAAATAATTTTAATAAAATTATATATAATTTATAAATATTATTTTTTAGATTGTGATTCTTATGCGTTTATAGGAAATTTGAAGAAATACACAAAAAGCGACATAACACGCAGAATTATATAAAATATGCAAAATAGAATATTTACCACGAAATAAATTTTCATTTCTGTTCCATTTCTTCAGTTATATTCATAGAAATATAAAAATCCGCAGTACGATTATTTCATTACTTGGAGTAATGAACAGAGTTCTTGCACTTTATCTCGAAAGTATTTTCTTCAGTAAATAACTATAAAATGCCACAAAATGTTTAGCTACGAGCTCTTGTTGAAAAACTATGCGAGTTTTCATTTAAAAAAGATTGCAATTTGACATTTTGAATTGCTTGCAAATTCATGTAAAAGTTCCTGTTTTTCAACTTCTCAAACCGCTCTTAGCGCATGATGTTGTTCTCATATATTTCACAACTATTTGGCACTTTTTCTTTCTATGAAAATAACGCGGCTTATCAACGTTCATTGTTTGAGACGCGATAAATCTCGAGTTTGCAAAATATTTTACAACTTACCAACGTTGCTAGTCGTATTTGTTACTGTCAGAATGATAGAACAAATGAACATAACCGAGCCGTCATTAGCAACAGTTGGACTTGGCCAAATGAGTATTACGAGAACTTATTTACACGTCTAATAACACGCGCAGTTGAGCCTCCCCTGCGTGAATCTCAATTTTTCATTGTAACGTTGCATTATCGAAACAAAAATATTTAACAGTGAGTAAAAGATCCTCTGCTAGTAGCAAACAATTTATTCTAGTGACGTAACGTTCGAATATTAAGATATTCGAAGAACAGGGAGACTCTGCTGCATTGTAAAGTAACATTTTGTATTTTAATTCGATCACGTTTTGATTTCAACTCAATTTCAAAATCTTCGTATGCTCGATATTTTAATTTTGAAGTGAAATTCTCTCATTGAAGGCTTCTGCTATAACTTACACCGCTAGACAACACATTCTATAGTAAACTATACCACTTTATAACATTCACCACTCTGTAATGGGATTACAATTACAAGGAATTTGAAAATTCTGTTTCTCTAGAAACATTTTTAGAATTTTCTGTGAACCGAGAGCAAATCGATAGGGTAGAGGCCTCAAGGTGAGATTTATAATTTTCTACGAGCATTAAACGCACACACGTCAGACGCATATCCCTCTTCTTCTCTATACGCAATTTCCGAGTGTTTTTGGTCGCCATTTTCTTACAAAAAAAAAAAAAACGTTCTTGATTCACATCAAGAACCGCATCCACCCGCTAATACTCAGTGTACAAATTGTTTGTTACGCGAGTCGATCCAGAAGATGGCCCGCGTGCGTCTTACGCGAGGGATCGTAAAACGCGCAAGTGTGCGCGTGACGCGCGAGTGCAACATTTGAAAATCAATAGAGGGGCACGCGTCGGGACGCGGACGCTCGCGTACGAAATCCTGCGCTCGATCGTTTCCATCCATCGTGTGTCGAGAGACGTTCGCGGAGAACGAGAGGAAGAACTCCTCGCGATCCGAAAAAAAAAACCAAAGCCAAGAGAAAAAGGAAAAAAGGTGGAACGACAGGGTTACGATTCAATTGAGAGGCGAGATTGTTGAGGAAGAGCCGAGAAAGGAGAAAGAGAGAGAGAAAGAGGAAGGGTGAGAGTCCGTTAGCGGCTGGTTCATATTCATATATTACGTGGAACGAGTAGTCAGCGCGGTCGATCATCCGTCAAACGGTGTAAACGCTTTAACGGGCCGTGGGCAATTCGGTTATTACGGGCGTCGTTGTAATCGAACGCAGCGGGACACCGGTGTCGGCCGGCCTTCGCCGAGGCTCTCTACCCCTGGATCCCCGCGATTCCAGGTTCCCTACCCGCGCAGCGACCAACCCCCCTCTGTCGCTCCCTCTCCCCACTCCCCGCTCCACCGATCGCCTAACCCAAACCAGCTCCGGTCTCATCGACGCGCGTTGTTTTCAATCGGCGACAATTCCACACCCTACCCTGGCTTCCAACCCCCCCTCCCCCTCCCCCCGCCGGCCCGTCATTTTATCCTCGTTTATCCCGGCCGAAGCGCCATTCGACGCCGACCGACCGGCTAACGCATTGGCGTTAACGCGCTAATGCGATACGTACTTTATGTACGGAGGGAGAGAACTCAACCACCCGTACGCAACAAACGATATAACGCGATTTCGCGTCCAAAGTTCCACGACCCCTCGACGCAACTCACGCTTCCCTCTCTCCCTCTCAACCCTCACTATATATATCTCTCTTTCTCGCGTTCTCGCCGTGCCTCACTCTCTGATTTTTCAATCCTTCGCGAAGATTTACTTTTGCTACTCGCCTATACTCGGCCGGTATTATTTTTACCTTTTATTTTCGTCGCCGCGCGGGGAAAATAACATCCATTTTTAACAGCCTCCCCCCCCGTTGTCAATTCGCCCCAGAAAAGTGTGGAAGTTTAAATCGGTCCGCCGATCGGTAAACAAAGTATTCAAAGGCGAGCCGACTGATCTCGTTTTCGATCGCGGTGCCGTTCACGCCAGGTGATCGGTGGAAAAAAAAAAAAAAAAGAAAAAGAAAAAAGTCGCCGTAGAAGCGGAAAGGTGGGAAGAAAACGCGACGCGCAGCGACCGATCATCGCCGCCGTCCTGGTCACGTATCCTTGGACTTTGTCGTTATTAATTGTCCAACCGACGGAGGAGCGAGGAGCGAAGATAATGTGGTTGCGCAACAGGTACTACCACACCTGTCTCTGCCGCGTTGCATAATCGCGGCTAAGAACGGTGTATGTGAAATCCGTGTGTACGCGTGTTTCCGCGCCGGGAAAGGAATTGACCGTGCCCGAAACACACAGAGCGAACGTCGCCGCGTTCGCGCCGGGATCGTTATCTTTCACCTCGCGGAGAAACCTCCCGGTCGTATCGAGGTCGAGAATCGCGTTTGCCCCGACTAACGCTCGCGAGAGCTCGATGTTACTTTCACTGCACGGTTTTCGGCGGGGAAACAGGATCGATCGATGGCCGACGACGCGCTTCGTGGTTCGTCTAGCGATAATCCAGAGCCGACAAACGTGGGGGGGGCTCGCAGGTATCCAAAGCAAGCTGTATGTGCAAGCGTCGAACTAGCAACGAAGTTTCGTGACACGACGTTGGAAATTAGAACATGTTCGGGAGATGTGAAATGGAGATGTAACAACATGCGAATATGCACGATATAAAATGTAGAATCTTAACAGACTGCGGGCCCAACCTGCTCCCGCAGGGCCCGCACGTTTTTTTCGAGCAACAGGGAAACTTTGTACAATGCGTACATGCACTTCTTTAATTCACGTTGATAAAATATTCTTAAATATTAATATTACTATCACATTGATAAAATAATCTTAAATATTAATATTAATATCACTGTATATTTTTTATAGTAATAGTTAAGAATCCATTTATCATGTATTCTTAGATTATCAACTATTATTTATTTTATATTTATATTGACACATTGAGGACGGTATGCTCTGGCAAACATATATTTTATATTTATATTGATATTTATATTAACACATCATATTTATATTAATATTTTATATTCATATTAACACATTGAGAACGGTATGCTCTGGCAAACATATATTTTATATTTATATTAATATTAATATTTATATTAACACATTTATATTAATATTTTATATTTATATTAACACATTGAGAACGGTATGCTCTGGCAAACATATATTTTACATTTATATTAATATTAATATTTATATTAACACATTTATATTAATATTTTATATTTATATTAACACATTGAGAACGGTATGCTCTGGCAAACATATATTTTACATTTATATTAATATTAATATTTATATTAACACATTTATATTAATATTTTATATTTATATTAACACATTGAGAACGGTATGCTCTGACAAACATATAGCCTGCATTTTCTCGTATTTTTCAAATTATTTAATATAATTATAATTTAATATAATATTTAATACAATTATAATTATAATATAATATTATAATTATAATATTTAATATACGATTGAAAGGGTTCAAGAGAATGCATAGCATGTAACAAGTGTATTATTTTATTAATAATTAAAATTATTAACTATCTTTCATTTCAGAGGTATTTTATTAAATAAAATACCTTTAGTAACGTTTCTTGATGTGGTACGTTAGGAAAGAATTTCCTACTTCTTGAAAAATTATATAACATTGTAATATATAATTACATATTATATATAATATTATATAATATAAATTATATATAACGTTGCCTGTCCCGTCCATTGTGTTAACAAATGGCGAATGTTATTTGCAACTCTCGCGGCATATTCTACTGTCGGAGAATGGGAAAAAAGCTTTTCCGAGCCAATAGTGCAAAAGTTTCTTGGAAGAGATATTAATCCGCGCGAATTAATACTTTGCGATGCCTCACAATTTTCACAATAACATTTCTTTCTCTCCAAGAGGAATCTCCTTATCTCTTCCGTCATAAGAATACACGCAGCACGTGAGAACCCAAGACAATAATAAAATGAAATAATCAGTGGATTATTACAGCTGGAGTTTACAGAGAGTGAAAAATCGCACCTCGTTCTTCTGTTTGTAGTTACGCGCTGCACGATAACGCAACATCTTCTAAGAAAAATCGCGTGTCAAATCGACGCGAAGAACAAATAGATTTCACTCAACCGGTGGACTTGCATACCGCCTACGACTTTTGTCCCGCTAGACATTCGTAAAACAACTCACTGTGTGTCGCGTGTTCCAAGTGTTTTCGCTACCGAGCAGAAAAAGAGAGAGAGAGAGAGAGAGAGAGAGACTTCGACGTGTAAGCGGGAGAATCGAGGACGAATCGTTCCTCGAACCTCGACTGGCCTGCCAAGACAATAATCCTATCGTCGGCGACGGAAACTAGTTGGAAATAAGCCTACCGCGTAACGATCTCTAGGAGATTGAAGTGGCCGCGGGTTCGAGGCACCTCGAACCGGGAATGAATCGATGAACGGCCGACGAAGCTAAATTAAACGTATTGCCCGTGATTTCCGCGCGGTAGCGGAATGTCGCGAGTAAAAAACGCGCGAACGCTGGTCTTCCCCTCTGCGAAGACCTGCGTGCGCGACGAACGAAACGAGATCGGTGACCACATACGTGTATATGTACACGATGCGTACGTGTATATAGATACGATACGCTACCCACCCAGCAACTGCTCGATACGCTCCTCGACCCAAGAGGTCTCGCACAACGGTACAGCTTGAAGTTAATGGGATCGATTTTTGTCACAGATTGGAATCAACCCGGGACTCTTCGCCGCTTACAAGGGCCACCACTACGCCGGGCCGGGGAACCATTTCTGTGAGTTGAACCCTCGACATCTCATCTTCTTATCGTTAAAAAAAAAAAAAAAAAAAAAAAAAAAAAAAAAAATAAATAAAAAATAAACCGCGCGCATTGTTCCCTTTACTTTCGATATCGCGCCAGCCGCGTACTGCGTTCAGATAGAGAGACTGGGACGTGATAGGAAGGACAAATAACAAACACACACACACGCACGCACGCACGCACACACACACGGTTTATCACGCGACGATTCTCAACGATTTTGGCCGCGGCTTCGTGGAACGTGGCCTTGGCCGGCTCCTCGGGCGTCGTTGTTTCAAAGAAATCGTCTACGATCCTCGGGCTCGCTGAAACGCAAATTACCGAAACCGGTTGGCGCGTGAACAGCTCGGTCGACGAAACTCGGTCGTTCCCCCTATTTTTTCCCTTGCCTAGGTGCGTGCTCCGGCGCGATCGACCGAGCGACGATCACCGGTGACCGGTTATTTTTAACGCGGCTTCCAACCGAGCTACGACGGGCAACGACGACGACGACGACTCTCGACAACGCGGACGCGCCGAGCCAAGTGCTTGCGCGACGTCTTGGTCGCCGTTTGATTCGTCGTCGCCTGGCTGATCAAGCTGAGAAGCATCGTGGACAAGTCGCCGGTCCTTCATTCTCTTTTTTTTTCCTTTTCTCTTTGTACCTCTCCCACCCTTCTTTGTTCGGCTCGATCGTTCGACTTCGCGTTCGACTCGTCGTTTTAATCTTCGCCTGGAGACTAGATAACGTTGTTATCGCGAGTTTTCAACAGCTTGTTCGCCGCGGCGAACGAATAATCGACTGCTAACAGTCGAACAGTGTCGTTGGGTCATGGACGATTGTAGTAACTTGCAGCGGAGGGGGGGAGAGCATGACTTCGTTGAAACCAATGACAATGGGAAATTGTCGATAATTTCGGTCGATACAACTTTAGAAAAAACGATCCTGGCCTATTCTACTTTGATCGTGAGATGTGAGGTGATTTTGTAATTTGTTTGTAATTTTTTTTTTTTTGTCAGCTAACCAAGGCATTCATCTTCTTGGTTTAACACGCTAATTTTTGAGCCCGCATGAAAGTCTCAATATTTAACTATATTAACGATTTTTGTGTCGATGCTTCACTTGAGTGACATTTTTCTCGACGTGAAGTTTCGAATTCTTAAATCACCGTGGTTTCTAACAGAGTCACTTTTCTACGCCCATGTGGAGGCTGAGACTCCACCGTATAAAACCAACTTAAAATTTTAATTAAAAAAAAGAAAAAAAATCAGGAAACTCCAGAAGAAAAATTTCTATCAACGCACACAAGCTGCAATCTGCTCGTTAATAACTTATCGTGCACCTTCAAAATCGTAAGATTCCAAATGAAAAATCTCTATAGACTAGAATTTGCAATTTGCTCGCTGATATTATTAATTAACTAATTAGTGCTGTAAAGAACTGTCGTTTAATGGAATTATAAAATTACGAATCTCGTCACAATGTTTGCCGTTAGAAGCCGAATGTATCTTGACACAGATTTGTCCGGAGAATCTGAGATACAGAAGGAACGGAAGCAGAGAGGAAACGGAAGAGGCGAGCGTTTCGACCGAGTCTCACTGAAAACTTATCAGAGTAGACAGCGGATGTTTATGGAAATTTTTATAAGCGCAAATAAAAGATTCGCGACTTGAGCAGGGATTCGGTTCGTTCATTAAATTTTATAACGAGTTTGGATATTACGTGCGTCGATTTTTTTTTTTTTTTTCGCATACTGCCGATCACCAAGATCAACAAGAAATTCTGCCTTCGACAAAAATTGGATAAATTTCAGTAATTTGCTCAAGATTAACATAGAAAGTTAATTAGCAAAGATTTGTACAACTGGCAGAATATATTTTGTATGTATTCTTTGATGTTGTGTTACGACACACTGTGTTGAAGAATATAATATTTATCCATATACAATGTATACTACCAGCCAACAGTTTGGGTACACATTCTGTGAAATATGTAGATCTTTTAACATCAGTACATATTTGTAATACAAATAGCGATTTCCTTGTCTCTAGAGAGTGGTTGCAGTACGTTGTGTATAAAGAGTGAACGCGTCTGTCGTTCAAACACAAGACGAGGCCAAAAAATATGCACGAATTAATACGAAATGGCGAAATGTTAATGAAACTCACGGTCAGTCTAAAATTCAGTCAGTCACTGGAAAACTGAACACATAACAACTACGATAGAATAACACGGGAAATAATAGTTCTGGGACGATAGTCGATCGATCGAACGATACAATCCCGCGCCAGGTTTAAATCGATCCCGCGGAGAACAACTTTTACGGTCGTAGTGGAGAAACCTCAGAAAGTTTGCGGAAAGTCCGGCATTGTTTTCGCCGAGGTTTCTGTATAAACCAGAAGCGCCAGAAGCGGCGTTGGATAGGGCAGGATGTAGTGACGACATACAGGGGAAGAAGAATTCTTGGCCGAAACGTAGGCCCGCGCCTCGATCGACCTTCAAACAATCTCGCGCGCTCTCTGGCCAAGCTATGCCTATTAGACGGCGGCGCGCACGCATGCACGCGCGTGCATTTTACGGCCATGTACGCGGTGCGCGTAGTTACCCCCATAAACACACACACAAATATATATATATATATATATATATATATATATATACACATATATAGGGGTAGAGGAAGTACATGCATATAACCGGGTGTACATAGAGGAGGTGCGCGGACGCGCACTCACGTTCATACATAGGTGGTATATACAGGGTGAAGTTAGGTATACGCTGCTGGATTTTCCAGGGTTTTCCCGGGGTTGCGGTAGAGCAGTGGATCGGGTGGAGGGTGGTGGCGTGCAGGAGGGGTGTGGAGGTGGGATACGAAGCGGGTTGAAGCGGACTGCGAAGAGCAGTAAAGGGGTGAGGGAGGACGGTTGTGTAGTGGAGGGAGGAACTATAATGAGTGGTGCGCGTGAGGGAGAGCAGGATAAAAAGGGGGTGAGAGGAGGAGGAGGAGGAGGAGGAGGAGGAGGAGGAGGTGACTCGGGGAGGGACCGTGAGAGGAGGTGGAGGAGGAGGAGGAGGAGGAGGAGAGAAGAAGGAGGTAGAGAGGAGGCGGAAGTACGGGGTAGTACGGGGTAAAAAGGTTGGAAGCTGTGGCAAGGTGAGGCGCGGCGAGGGGAGGCGGGCGGGAGGGTTGGATGGGGGTGGTTTGGTGGCAGAGGAGCGGGGGGGATGCGGGGCGGGGAGGGCGTTTGCCAGCAATGGAGAACAGGAAGAGAGAGAGAGAGAGAGAGAAGGAGAGAAGGAAGAGAGAGAGAGGGAGGGGTGGGCCGCATGGGGAGGAGGATGGGTGGATCGAGAACGACGGGTCAATTTAAGCCCCGAACGGAGGGAGAAACGGACCGGGCCTAAAGGTAGTAAACCCCGAAAAATTCAGCGCGGTTCAGCCGGTTCGATCGCTCGAAAGCGAACGCGGTCCCAGTGATCGAGGCTCTCGCGCGCGCCCAACCCGCACAGTAGTGCTGTTCCGTTCGCTTTCGTTGCGCCGCGTTGCGCGCGATCCTTCGCTACGCGCGAGAATAACGAACGCGTGGGCCGCGGCGAGACAGCCGAGGCTGCCGAAAAGTCTCGCGCCGCGAGGTGTTTGTGTTAACTAGCTGCAGCGAACTGCCGCGGTCGTCGTGGGCTGCTGCTACGCCACCGTCGTCGTGTCTACACACACGGCCCTGGCGATAAACGACGAAGCTGACGGCCGTTAATTGTCGTTTCGCGCGCGTCTCTTTCTCAACCAGCGGAGTACAACGCACACACACACACACGTCGCGCACAGCAGAAGACGCGCGGGGTCGTCTCCCCGTGTCTGCCGCGTTCGATCGATCGAGGTACGTTCATCGAGCTGGCTCGCGACACGCTCAATCGATCTGGCACCGGTCTCGATCGTTGCAGATCTCCCGACGACCGAGAATAAGTAGCCTGCTGTCTCTCCCGGTGCGACCTTTCTCCCTCGTCTCGTCGCTCAATGGAAAAAGAACCGACCCCGAACCGCTTTTGTTCCTCTCGTTCTTCGCGCCCCGGACGTTTCACCACCGAAATTTAAACGCTCGTTCCGGGCTACTGGAGGAAAGTGATACGCTAAGCGACATATCACGACACTGAGAACGTAAGGAGCTGTTGAAAATCGACTCTTCCTCGTCGTTTGCCAAGGCAAGAGATGTCATTCGACAATCGTACGTCGAAAATCCAATTGAACGCGAGTACATTCCGGGGTACATTCAATTACTCGTTAATTTCGTTCGTTCTTTTTCAAAGCGACGAAAAGGAAACGAGAAATGAGAAAAAACGAAGACGAGAAGAAAAGGGCGTGAAAATGGTGATGCAATTTGAAAAAGTTCATCGTCGAAATGACGTTTCGAAAATTGTCGAAACTCTCTCTCTCTTAAAAAGTGTGGGAAACGATATATGGTAGGTTAGCACGAGAGAGCTCGGTTCTTTTCCCGGAATTGGTGCAAGACACGACGATCGGGTGGGAGCGTTGTTTGCACGTAGAAAAGTTTAGTCGACGGAAAACGACGGGACGACAGGATGACAAGGCGAGAAAGGATGGTCGTGGGGTAGAATCGCGCATCCCCGACGGGGAAAGAGAGCCGGCTGGTCGGTGACCCAATTCGTCGTGCGGCGGGCTTTTTCCAACGGCGCGAAAGTTGAACGTGACCGGGGGAAACTTTTCGTGGTCGTGGCAATCGAGCCGTCGCGCCTCTCTCATCCGAGAAGGAGACGACGGCGGCGCGTTCCTTCACCCTCGCGCCTCCTCGGACTTCACCATCCGGTCGCAATCACAACTACCCTCCGCGATTCCACTCGTTTCAACTTTGCCGCGGCCGTCCTCCAACCGCTGACCCCGTGTGAAATCCAACATTTTTATCGTCGTCGCCGTTATGCCTCGATGTATGTCTCCTTCGTCGCCGTTCGAAAGTACAACGTTCAAACGAAGAGAATCACG